CCTAGGCGGGGACTAGTCGAGCGCCTTAAGTGATTTTTGGAATAGTGCTTAACATATTTATTTTCAAACTTATACTTTTTATAAAATTGATGAATATCATTCATATGAAATATTTTTTTTGCAAATGAACGCTATGCATTTATAAAAAGTCTATAAATTTAAAATTTTATGGACTTTTTAAAAAGTTCACCAACTAAACATATTACAACAATTCATATATGAAATATTTAATCTACTTTTTATGGAAGAAAATATTTAATCTAATTATTTAACAAAATAAAAGACAAATAAATTGCTGCTGAAATTTGAAAATAGATAATTAATTAATTAATTTAAAAATGGAAAACAAAATTGAATTTCATCATACCCAAATGCTAACTAAAAAATTTTCACTATTTTTGGTCGAGGTCATGAGCCCGTCCTAGAATTCCTCGAATTGACTAAAATTATGCAATTTGCTTCTTTGTCATATAGTACCTCCGTCCCGCTATGATTGTCCCGTTTTATCTTATCGGTCCGTCCCACTAAGATTGTCCCATGCCAAATTTAGCAAAGTTTGTGTGACTCTAAATCATTCTTACTTTATTCTTACTTTATCAATTCAATATCAACCACATAAGCAATTTTTTATTGATTTGGGTGTGAACAAGAATACTAACGTATGATCAAGTCTGTCATTCCAACAAGCAAAATCCTATCAACTTTTTTTTTTGTAAATACTACTCCCTCCGTTCCTATTAAAACTTCCAACTTTCCTTTTTCGTCCGTTCCAATTAAAACTTCCACTTTCCCTTTTAGCAAAGAATTTGTGGTTCACAACATTTCTTACACGTTTCTCTCTCCTCTGCACAACTCTCCACCACACAATACTCACTATCTTAAATTGTGTGCCAAACCAATTTGGAAGATAAAATAGGAACGGAGGGAGTACATATTTTTTCTTAGGTAGTAGTCATGAGGCAATATGTTTGAACGTTGCCAAGTGGTCCACAGTCCAACTCAATCCAATCATCTCCATGACTTCTCGTTTCTTGTTTTCTTGTTCAAGCTAGGACGATTACCAAGTACCAACCCCCTTCATAAAAATCCACTCCTCATAGGTTTCTTCCGGGCGTTCCTTGATCCATTTAAGCTTAGTTTCAATTTATTAAATTAAAACAATTTGTATTTCAATTGAATTTAGATTCAATTTGAGAGTGGTTCTGTTTAGTTTGGTTTCAAGTTCAATTCGAAGTATAAAAGTCGAAAGAAAGAAAAAACAGAAGAAACCGAAAGGAAAAAAACATTAGAAATCGTCTCAATTATTAGTGATTTAGGTAGAATAAGATGCTTTGGAAAGTTTGTGATGACTTTTGGATAGTATATCTTTACACTATTTACATTAATATTTTGTAACTTTTCACATTAGTTTCCGATTTGAATGTCAAGTTGCTATTTTAAATAATTTTTACGGTATTAAAATTAATTAAAATAATATATTACACCTTTGCAAATAAAAATTAAATGCCGTATTTTCATTTGAAAATGTTATTTGAGTAACTAGTGTCATATTTTATGACCATAACACCATAGCAACTAGTGCCATGTTTTTCATCTAAAAAATTGTCATATTTGCACATACTGCCATTTGTTTGTCATATAATGCCATTTGTATGGCAATATTCCATTACATTGGCAATATTGTTACGCTTACAAATACAGCATTTATAAAGTCTGAAAAGTGTCAAGATGGCAATAATTTACGTATCTGAAATCAGTGGTGATGGAGCGAGAAGAAGAAAGTCAGACTAGGTGGCGGTGGATGAGGTGGCGACGGCAGTGGAGATGGCGGCGGCAAAAAGATGATTGATGGTGACCGTGGCAGAGGCAACGACAGAGATGGCGGCGATGTCCGATGATGGCAGATTCTGACGACGGTGACATCCGGTGTCACCAGCAACGCCGGCAAGGCTGCCGGTTCAGGGTGGGTGATGTCGGCATCAAGTTGTGGCAGTGGTGGTTTTGTACGCAATCCATTGTGTTTGCTTTTATGCTATTATTATTCTATTTTATTGGTGAATAAATAATGTAGGGTTTTCATTAAGGGTAGTTTTGTCAACTCATGTATTTTTACTCCTATTCAATCTTACCGAACATGCAACTCCTATTTTTGCACTTGTATTATGTTTTGCTCCTAGTTATGGAATTTACTCAAAATTTCCCGTTCAAGTTTGGTCAGGTTTAGCTTATATATAAAAGCATTATTTATGAGAGAGAAAATTATCTTGTTCAAGTTTTAGCCGGCTTAATTATCTTATACCTAAAAGGCTAAAAGTGTAGAAAGAAAATTACCTCGCTTAACTGTTAGCCGGCTTATCTTATCTATTTCTTCTTATACCTAAAAGTACTACATATGAGAGAGAATTCTCCCGCTTAATTGTTATCTGGCGTATCTTATCTTCTTATATACCTAAAAGCACTATGTATGAGAGAGAAAATTATCTCGCTTAATTGTTAGCTGACTTATCTCATCTTCTTGTATCTAAAAGTACTACGCATGAGAGAGGAAACTCTCTCGCTTAATTGTTAGATGGCTTATTATCTTATCTTATACCTAAAAACACTACACATGAGAGAGAACATTTTTTCGCTTAATTGTTAGCCGACTTATCTTATCTTATAACTAAAAGCACTGTGTATGAGTGAGAAAATTTGCATGCTTAATTGTTTGTCATCTTGTCTTATACTCCCTCCGTCCCGCTAAGATTGTCTCATTTTACCTTTTCGGGAAATCCCACTAAGATTGTCTTATACCTCAAATCACTATGTATGAGAGAGAAAATTCTTCCTCTCAATTATTAGGTGGATATATCTTATTCTACCTAAATCACTACGTGTGAGAAAGAAAATTCTCACTCTCAATTGTTAGCCTGTTTTTTAAAAAGCACTACATATGAGAGAAAAACTTCTCCCGCTCAAGTTTTGGCCGACTTATCTTCTTATCTATCTAAAAGCACAACGTATGAGAGATAAAATTCTCTCGCTCAAGTTTTAGCCAACTTATCTTATATCTAAAAGCATTACGTATAAGGTAGAAAATTCTCCCACTAATTGTTTTAGCCGACGTATGTTACACCTAAAAGCATTATGTATGAGAGAGAAAATATAATGTTTAATTGTTTGCTGGCTTATCAAATACCTAAAAGCACATTGTATGAGAGAAAAATTCTTTTGCTCAATTATTAGTAGACTCATCTTATACCTCATTCCACTATGTATGAGGAAAAAAAATTAGTAGACCTATATTATTACGGAGTATTATTATTATTCCTAAAAGCACTACGTACGAGAGAGAAAATCTCCAACTCAAGTTTTAGCCAGATTATTTTCTTATCTTCTCATCATACCTAAAAGACTAGGTATGAGAGATAATTTTCCTGCTCAAGTTCAGGATCTGCCTTCCTCAATGGGTCACGAGTCCGATCCGGAGCCACCGGTGCCGCATCTGTCATCATTGATGGATGACGACCCCGATTTGGGCTGCCACTGCTGGCGGAGGTGCGTTGTTAGTACTGTAGGTGCTTCCTACTTTTGAGATCTACAGATCTACAGTTCCGCCTCGGTTGGGGAGAGCATGGTTGCGATGGTTCGTGGATTTGGGTGACAGGGTCAGGGAAGATGGGGTGGAGGAGCTGGGGTTCGGGATGTTGGCTGGGGATGGAGACTTGCGGGATGGGGAGGTGGTTGGGGCTGAGGAGGTAGTTGGGGGATCAGAGGGGTTGGGAAGGTGGCTGGGGGCTAGGGAGTGGGCTGGGGTGGTGACTCTACAGTGGGGGTAATGGAGGGTCTTTGTGTGGGTTGGGGGTTGGTGCGTGGTGGTGGCGGAGGGGCAGGGGCTGTGGTAAGGCAGAGGTTGGGTGAGGTAGGGGAGGGGTTGGGAGAGACGGGGGAGGCTGGGATGTACTCGACGGCGACAGTCGCCGAAGGTGGTGGTTGCCGACGGTGGCTGAGTGGTTGGTGCGGGTAAATAGTTGGGTTGATTATTATAATTGGATGGACGTGTTGGTCACTGGATGAGCGAACGTTGGTCACTAGACGGATGGACGTTGATCACTAGACGAGCGGTCCTTGGTCACTGGACGGGCAAGCCTTGGTCACTGAACAGGCGGGCTTTGGTCAATGAACGGGCAAACGTTAGTCACTGGGCGAGAGTCACTATATCAATTGGTCACTGGTCAAAAGCCACTATAGGGTTGGTCACTATCACGGTGGCCGGAAGTGGAGGCCAGAGGAGGTCACTATGACGAAGGTCATTGTATGGCAAGTCACTGTATGGTAGGTCATTGTATGAATAATAAAGGATTATTCATTCCTTGAATTAAAGAGTATACGGCATCCTGTATAAATACAGTTGTGTGTGGCTCTAGCTCTAAGAGATAAGAATACATGTACTACTAACTATAGCTACTTGATGAGAAATTAATGTGATAAGAATACATCTGGAATACTACACGTGCATGAAATAATGTTAATGATAAAAAACAATCTTTATCATACATATATATGCTTCTAATTCACGATAGTCGATAGATAAAGAAAATACTAATATTGAAAAAAGTAGCTCGTCCATACCAGGCCAAATAAACACCTTTACTAATAATGCTTAATATTTTTACTAAATATGAAATCTAGCTAGAATACTCACTTCCCGTTTTATATTTAGCATCAACCTTATTGTGATTACGATTTGGAGCATGTACACGCATATATATAAAATATAGTGTATGTTACAAATAGAGATTGCAGTATTATTAGATGAACCCTCTAAAATAGGGATACTTTCAATTGGACTTAAATTTTCTTGTATCATCTCATCTGGTTGATTTCATATAATCTGATTTATTTAAGTCTGGTCTAATATCTATTTGATGAGTATTTCATTATGGTCCAAGTGTTATGTGATCTATCGAGTAGATTCTAATATGATTTGAGATATGAGATTGAAAACAATCCAATTAAAAACATCAAAAAGTATACATGTGGTAGAGGCAACTTGAATTTAAATTCTCAATGACTTTAAAAGGGGCTCTTAATGGATAAATACTGAACATTCAACTGATATACTATTACAATTCGTGAACTTTGGATATTTTGTCAAAAATTTGCAATTTAGTCTCTATAAAGTTGTAGAGCTTTGATACTTGCAAGGTCCTAAACATTGTACCAAAATTCAGCGTGTGATTTGTTGCACTTGCATATGCGTAACCAAACTGCCTTTACTCGCCGCCTCTGATTCTCTGTCCGACACTAAGTACGTACTTATCTAGGTGGCTCCTCAGCGGGACCACCTTGACTTTCTCAAAGATCTCCATAGCTAGTGATCATGAAGAAGATTAATCAATGAGTTGGGACATAAGGTTGAGGAATTGAATTTGTTTCTTGTAGAATCGAAATGACTTGAATTTTCGATAGCTCCCATGATATATTCTCTGTACGATATACCAATAAGAAGAAAGAACAAACCACTTTACATCTTGTTCTTTCACTTTTTGTTTAGAAAATAAATCAAATTAGTATTTTCTAATAGATTTTATTGCTTAATTGAAGAACCTAAAGATAAAATCCATAGGTAGAGTGATTGATGGTTTAACTTTTTCTTATATAAGAATACATTAATAAGTGGATTTCTAGAAAAGCTCAAACTTTTATGATTTAAGTATGATTTTCACTCATAATCATCCGTAGATTAATAAGGATTACATGAGCAAAACAAGAGCAAAGTTTTAAAGTAAAGAACTGATTTTAAAAGAATAAATAAGAACTACTCATTACTACGTATTATTTACTTCAAATCACCTAGTTAATCCAGACCAAATAAGAAAAAGGAAGGGTAGAAAATGAAGTATACCTCTCTACCGGAAAAGCTCGGAGAAGCATATGAAGGCGTTGAAGGCGAGTTGGACCCGGAAGCAAATGAATCTGTGTGAGTAACCAATGGAGGTGGAGGTTTAAGAACAGGACATGTAAGAATATCAACAACATGAACATCCCAGATTATCCAATCTTTCGTCGTCGTCCTATGCGGGATATCGTGCGTGACAGAGTTTTTCCATGGCGGCAAACCTCCGTTCGCTCTAAGGAACTGCCCGTTCCTGTAGTTGAAAGTTTGATCCAATGTATTAGTATAGCAATTGAGCCACAGCTAAGATATTGCACGTTTTTTAGTCATATTCTTCTTAAAGTTAATTTGTAGCTATATAAGTAGATAGACACTTTCTATTTAAGCATATGTAGAGTCCCTTCAGCATATCGGGCTCTCAACAAGGTTGTAAATTATGGACCACAATGCATGTTTCCATTGGAATATTATGATAACAATTTGCATCACACCACAACTGTGATGTGTTTTAAAATCACACCAATAAACGCGATCGCAATTTAAAATCATGATGATAATGAGTCAGTGGTTAAGTTCTCCCGGACAAAAGTGACCTTCATAAGAATAACAAAATACTATCATGAAGTATTCTACTCGCTGCTTTAGCGCTGAATCTTACTTATAGTTTCAAACAAATTGCGTTTAGAATACCAAATAGTACCTTGTCCTCAACTTAACCCGTGTGCCTTCGTAAACAGGTTCCCATTCCAAGGAGGAGTCGAGGTGACTAGGCAAAGTCTGCAGAACTTTCCGGCCAGTCATACCGAGCAGAAACGGGTTGTTTGAGGCGGTCAAGTACTTGCCATAACAGCTCTTCAAACAGATAACGTTATCCGTGTTCTCCGGGACCTCCACCGTCCAACGCGCACTCGGGGAGCTGCCGTGTCTGTCTTGAGTTACCGACTCTTCATCCTCATCCGCGGTCAAGTACTTATCATGGTGGCTCCGCAGCCGCACCGCCTTAGCCCGGTGGAAGAGCTCCATTGCAGACACAGTGATTGTAGGCGTCTGATATATAGCAAGTGTTCAAACAAAAACCCATTTAGAAAAAAAAATGACCCGCGTGTTTGGCAAAAAGGTTGAGTTGCTAATTAAGGAATTATATAACTAAGGGAGATTTGCGATTTTAGTCGGTAAGTTTAGGCTGTTTTCACTATTAGTCGCGTACCTGAAAAACATGCAAGTTTGGTCATGTAACTAATAAATCTTTGCGATTTAAATTAAGACTATGTATGAATCTTATTACTTAATTCAAATCATCCCGTTAATCCAGACCAAATAAAAAAAATGGAAAGGTAGAAAACGAAGTGTACCTCTCTACTAGAAAAGCTCGGAGAAGCATATGATGGCGTTGAAAGCGTTGAAGGAGTTGAAGGCGAATTGGATCCGGAAGCAAATGAATCTGTGTGAGTAACCAGTGGAGGTGGAGGTTTAAGAACAGGACATGTAAGAATATCCACAACATGAACATCCCAGATTATCCAATCTTTTGTCGTCGTTCTATGCGGGATATCGTGCGTGACAGAGTTTTTCCATGGTGGTAAACCTCCATTTGCTCTCAGAAACTGCCCGTTCCTGTAGTTGAAAGTTGCATCTAATGTATTACTTTAGCAATTGAGCCACACAAAAAGATGTTTTTGATCCAAAGTTTTTGAGTAATATTCTTCTTAAAGTTAGTTTGTAGCAATAAGTAGATAGACACTTTCTATTTAAGCACATGTAGAGTTGTTTCAACAGATCGGGCTCTCAGCAAGGTTGTAAATTATGGACCACAATGCATGTTTCGATCGGAATATTACGATTGTGATTCGCATCACACCACAACTGTGATGAGTTTTGAAATCACACCAATAAACGTGATTGGAATTTAAAATCATGATGGTAATGAGTCATTGGTTAAGTTCTCCCGAATGAAAGGTGATATTGACCTCCATTACAATAACAAAATATGAAGTATTCTACTGACTGCTTTAGAGTTAACTCTTATGCTAATAGTTTCAAATAAATTGCATTTAGAATAACTAAACAGTACCTTGTCCTTAACTTCACCTTTGTGCCTTCCTTAACAGGTTCCCATTCCAAGGAGGAGTCGAGGTGACTTGGCAAAGTCTGCAGCACTTTCCGGCCAGTCATTCCAAGCAGAAACGGGTTATTCGAGGCAGTCAAGTACTTGCCGTAACAGCTCTTCAAACGGATAACGTTATCCGTGTTCTCCGGGACTTCCACCATCCAACGCGCACTCATGGAGCTACCGAGTCTGTCTTGAGTCACTGACTCTTCATCCTCATCTGCGGTTAAGTACTTATCATGGTGGCTCCGCAGCCGCACCACCTTAGCCCGGTGGAAGATCTCCATTGCAGACACACTGATTGTAGGCGTCTGATACATAGTAAGTATTGAAACACAAGCCCTTTCAGCAAAAAAATAAAGAAAGAACGTTTGGCAAAAAAGTTGAGCGCGTCAACCGCATAAATGGTACCTTAACTATTGGTATAATTGCGTTTTGATACTTTAACTCTTGAATGAATCCGATACATATCATACTATACATTAGTGTTCCAATTTGTTCCAATTGACAATATAATTCAAATTTGCACTCAAAAAACCCGACATGGTAATCAAAATTACATGTGTAGAGTGCATCATACAACGATACATGGACAAAAGTAAGGTGAAGTGGACTTTAGGCTTAGAATTTCGGCCTCCACGTATGATTTTTTGGCCGGAAATTTGAATAATATCGTCAATGCAAATATTTGTGTATATGTATAATACTGATTTGATTCATTGGTACCACCAAAAAGCAACAATACCAATAATTAAGGTACAACTTACCCATTTCACCCCAGCTTGAGCATTGATGTACCCTTACCCTACTAACTTATATGTTGGGTTTCAATAATACTCCGTACCTCAGGTGTGGGCGTAGAAAAACTTGACTGTCGTGAAACTGGAGAATCCAGACCGGAGAGTTCATCGGAGAATGATGATGAAAAGCTAGACACAGTTGAGAAAGAGGTTGTGAATAATGTTTCGTTCTCTGCGGGGAGCTGATCAGCCGCCTCGACCACCCACACGATCCAGTTGTTTGTGGAAGTCGCGTGAGGATTATCATGCGTTACAGAGTTCCTCCACGGCGGTGTTCCACCATTTGCCCGCAAATACGTTCCTCCATAGCTCTTCAGTTTTATCTATATAAAAAATTGTACTTCGTATGTATCACCAAATTATCTAAAATCTAATTACTTCTTAGTTAGGCGGGCCTCGGCGCACCTACAAACTTACTCGACGCACCAATTATTTATCTGGACAATAATGACCTCTTCCTTTATTTTTAATTAATTGACCGTAATCCGAGTAGGGCTGGTAATATCACCCGTGCCCGGGGATACCCGGTCAATCCGAACTGAAAATATGGATGAAAACCCGAAGAAATATGGATGAAAAATGGATGATGGGTGGATTGAAAGACGGGTTGGATCGGGTGTGGATGGACACTCATCCAACCCATCACCCGACCCGTCATCCGCTCCATCCACCGCACCTGCTGACCCGCATATAAATATATATACATATATTTTAATATCTACTTAATATAATAATAATAATAATAAATATATTAACAGATACTACGTAACTACGGAGTAGCATTGTAGCGACTAAAATAGGAGCCCAACCCTAATCCCGTTGAACTGCAAAAATAGTTTTGTGTTGATGCAGAAATGTAGATTTGACAACTTGAAGAAATTCCTTATCTATTTTGTTTGACAATTAGTTCTTTCTTTATCATCGGCAGTGAATTAATGGTTGTAATATACTTCATTGCTCAAGTTTTTGTAGTTATTTTTCAATGAATTCTTAATTTTTGACATGATTTCTCTTTATAATTTATTTATTTTGTCTTTCAAGTTTGACCTTTTGTACTCACCTGTTACTCACCCGATCCACCCGATAACCCGTTCATGATAGATGAGTTGGATGTGGATGTAAATTTTAATGGATGCTGAACGGGTGGATGGACTATGAAAAATGAACGGATGAACGACGGATGAGCTTTCACCCGGTATAAATCCAACCCGCTGCCACCCCTAAATTCGAGTAACATTGTGGTGCTATTATAGTAAAGAGGCGGTAGGGACAATAATTATAGTAAAGAGGCGGCAGGAACAATAATAATGTTGGAGTTGGAATACTTTTGTCCAACTTTTCATTTTTCAGATTTTTTTGGTATGCAATAATCACGAAATACGTAGTAATTAGGATTATCGATGTTACTTACATTTTAAAAAAAATATCTTACTTAATATGATTAGGATTATAAATCTAACTACTATCAACAATTACTATAAATACCATAACAAACTATTAGAGTCCGTTTGGTAAGATTGAAATTGGCTGAATCGATTGGTACTACTGAAATTAATGAAGTTCGAGCTGAAATGGCTGGATTGGTTGCTTCTGTCGAATTCTGAACAAATTATATTTTAAATATATTTTATTAATAAAATAAAGACCAAATTATATGTAGTACTGGTTTACACATGATCAAAAAATGACATATGGCTCTTTGTTATTCATATTTACAAATAAAACATAGATGAATATAAAAAAATTGTGATTGGAAAGTTTTTTTAGAATAAATTTGATTCAAATTTTCAATTGTTCAAGTATGGTACAAAATGAGATAAGTTTAATGGGACAAATTAAAAAAGATACTACCTCCGTCCAACAAAATTCTTCTCACTTTGATTTGTCACAAATATTAAGAAAGTGGAATAAAGTGGAAATGTGTGATTGTGGTTGTGTAAGAAAAAGGTGAAATGAATGTGAACCACATAAATTGTCCAAAAATGGTAAGTGGAAAGAATTTTTTGGGACAACCCAAAAAGAAAAGTGAGAAGAATTTTATAGGACGGAGGGAGTAAAAGAGAACAAAGATAGGATTGGATAGAGCGGTAAAGTAACGAGAAGGGACCGAGTTTGGTATTACCCCCAACTTAGAACGTATAATTGACCAGCCAAAATGAGTAAATTACATCGTACAACCGGCTGTATCTAGGACACGGTACAACCGGATTTTTTTGTAATTAATTGCAATTCTAATGGCAAAGGTAAGATGTTATGTTCCTTGGACTCCCTGCTGCTGCTCTTTCCGTTCGTACTTCCTTGCTATTCCTTCTCTGCGTTGTCCGACTTGCTGCTATCAGGAATCTTTCTAGTTTCTTCTTTTTTCTTTTATACGTAGTAACAATAATACTCGTTTTTTAAACAAGATCCCACTTTCTCTTTTGGGTAGTTCCCAAATTAAGTTTCCATTTCCTTATTTGGTAAATTAACTACATCAAAACAGAGCCAAACAGTGTCCAAACAGTGTCCAACAGTGTCAAAACAGTAAAGTTTACTCTCAGTAATTTTTCCCCTTAAAAACTGTGAAAAGCAATGGGGAATTTGTTTTAGAAATGGAGGGAGTGTTCAATTTACTTTTCTACAAAAGGTTCTCTACGGATCATAAGTTTTTGTTGGGCGAAGGAGTTATATGAATACTTTTATCCAGGAAACTTAAGAATAACCAATGAATGCACAAGAGGTGATAGGCCAATAATTGATTCCATTTCATGTGAATTTCAAAATATACAATTGATATGACGATTTGATTAAAAATCTTTTCTCCCTCTTCCATTAGTAATTCTCCATATTTTTTAAATTGATTCCTAATTATTGGATGTCCACCAAGTGTTTGAAAAAATTAGTAAGTGAATGTTCATTCTTTTCTTGATAAATTATTTTATTGTTTGATGCACATGTATAAAATGTTAACATGAGTATGATTTGTTTTGCATAAAATGTGTTGTTTAAAATATATTTACTAAGATCTTTCTAATTATACGATTTTATTAAATTTTAGATCTTTTTTTTGTAAATTTTTTAGTTTGATGTTTGAACATTCTGTAAAATTGTTGAAATATATTTTCCCAACATTTTTCTATGATAAACCAGGAAACAAAGCCAACTTTATTAATTTGAATTGTAATGTGTTTATTCCATGTTAATATTGAAATGAATTTTGTGTTACACATAAATGAGCATATCATTTAAAAGAAATGAGCATTGATATTAAGTTGTAAAATTAGTATATAGTACTACGTATAAAGTATACTCTGTATACTCCGTATTATATTTACGAATGATTTAAGTGTGCTTTTTCTACCCAAATGAGTATAGAAGTAATGTGCTATTCTCACATGTAACTTATTGAAATGAGTTTTGTGTTATAATAAAATGAGTAGAATGTTTAAATTTAATGTGCATGAGTGGAAAATTATAAAACGAGCACAATAAACTCATATGTCAAAAATGAAAAATTATACTCCGTAATTATTTTTTCTAATAAACTTATTATATTTCTCACTGCTGAATCTATTTATAGATTAGTAATTGAGTCTATTTCTATTAAGTTGTTTGCAGTGAATATATGATACATGACGATTATAAAAATGAATTTTATATTTCTACCTCCGTCCCTTAAAACATTGACAAAGTTGTCCGGCACGGAGAATAATAAAGTAAAAACTGTGTGGTTGAGGTTTGTGCAGGAGAGAGAAATAACAGAAACCACAAAATAATTGATTAAAAGAGAAAGTGGCAAAGTTTTTTGGGACGTCCTAAAAAGGAAAGATGACAAAATTTTAAGGGACAGAGAGAGTATAATCAAATGAGTATAACGTTTAAAAGAAATGAACATTGATATGACATAAAAAATGAGTACAATTAAAATTTAAAATAAACATACAATAATGAATATATTAAATGAGATTGGAACATCCGGACATAAGTGAGATTTCAAATTTTTGAATGCTCATTTAGTAAGTAATTTATGCTCATTTGCTACATGTACTATGCTCATTTCAAAATATAATGGAAATGCACATTTGGTAAGTACTATATGCTCATTCGCTACTTTTACTCATTTTAAAATGGTATTTCAATATTCACACATTGCTTGTAAATATTATACTCATTTGGATATAATATAAAAATCATTCCAATGTTCATTTCATATAAACGTTATAATCATTTCGGTATAACATAAAACTCATTTGTACATTCCATAAATCTAATATATTCATTAAACACCAACTTATTATTAAACTGCAGGTTTAGCCACGAGAAAAAACATATTATTTTTATCGAACAAGTGCATCAATGTTTAAAATATTCAATCAAGAAAGGGCTTCACATTCACTTGGGATTTTTATCGAACAGTTGATAGGTATTCAAAAAATTACAGTAATATTTTTGAAAGGGTAGATAGATGTTTTGATGAAATTGTAATCCCTGTCAATACGTTTGGAATCTACAACTGTTAGTTGGGATACTCCAATTAAGAACTGTACGTAGATAAAAAAAGAAGAAGAAATGAAAGAGAAGATCAAAGGAAAGTTGGAGGAGGAGAATATATGATGCAGAGACGATGAACGAGTTCATCCGATAGTTAGCCAAGAGAGTATAAGGAGACTCAAAGTTGTGATATATTACAAAAATACCTGGCTGTACGGTAATACCTTACAGTCGGTTGTAAGATATACGAATTCGCCAAAATGCCCCCACATGGAGTAAATAAGAGTCTGTTGGGGGACTCTCTGTTTTGTAATAATAACAAAAACTAAGGTTGAAGTTATTTTTTTAGCTGTATTGACTGAAGCTACTGTAAATGATCATTTTAGCTATGTTTTCATATAATTTTTTCTTTATTTTATGAATAAAATATATTTTAATTATTTTTTTTCATAAATCACTAGAATCAATCAATACAACCAGATTCGACTGGCTCAAACCAGGGCCGTTTTTTAGGGGGTTTAATAGGTTATCAAGAACAAGGCCCCCGAATTTATAGGGCACCAAATATTTAAAAATTTATTAGTATTATATAGTAATATTATATATTAATACTAATCAATAAAATACAGTTAGCTAGTAAAGAAAAAAATATAGATCCATCATTTTTTCGTTGGTCTTTTTACTTTGTTCATTCTCTTTTAATGTGTATTTAATTGATTTGAGTATTAGTATTTGGTTTATATAAATGTGACCCCCATTTTTCATTTTGAAAAGGGGCCTCCAAATTCATCGACTCGACTGCACTCGCTCAAACTGATCCGGTCCTTATACCATCCTCCGTATCATATTAATTGCAACATTGGAATATATACACTATTCATGTACTTTACTTTGACTACATTTTATTTATTAATGTATGTGAATTATTTTTTTTTAAAAAATATTGTTAAATTCGTCTCATTACTAAGTTTTATAATCTGATTTTTAATTTATTTTTACTAATAAAGAATTAAATATAATGACGGTCAAAGTTGTTCGTTGGCAAACGTGAAATATTGACTGTTTCAGCTAAAAAGAGAGGGAAGAAGTATTATGAGTCCGCACTGAAATTGATATCTGAATCCAACTGTTTCACTCCATAGTTTGAAGCGTTGACTACCCGTGTGGGTGACTTTCGTATTACCTGTCTCACCGACTCCTTACCGTGCCTAATTTCATCTTTCCTTCCTTTTCCCTTCGCCGGGACTCTACAATCCCCTGCTTTTTCTTCGTCATGCCGGAAACCTGGTTGAATCGCTTCGGTATCATTCGCGCGAAGAACTAATTCGGCCACTCATTGCGAAATATTTAGAAACTGATATTCGGAGGCTTCTTCTCTTCATCGATCATCATCATCGTGATCTTCAGCCCTTCAATCCGACAGGCGGAAAGTCGGAAACTGTACTCCGTCCGGCCGGCCGTCGTTTAGGGATGCTATAGGCGGCTCTTAATGCGATTCATTATTACGGAGTAATACAATACTTGGGCAATGCGTGTATTTTTTTTATGAATTTAGAAAAAGTAGTAATATTGGGAATGGATTTTTGTGAATTACGAGTAATAATTAATTTTGTAACGAGCTAGAAAGGAAGCGGTCCAGTTCAGCCGGTTGTCCCGGTCCCTCCCGACCCCGGTGTAAAAAAAGTGATGGGCAGAGGAATTTTGTGTTACCTGAAATCCATCCTCGACAGGCTGCCATTCAATACGCAAGTCCATGAGGTTTTGGTGGGCGGTCAGGAGCACCTTGTTGCCGGTCATGCCGAGGAGAAGTGGGTCGTCGGAGGCCGTCAGGTAGCGGCCGTGGCAGCTCTTGAGGCGAACCAGCTGGTCGTTGCCCTCCACACGCTCGACGCGCCACCGCCCTTTCTCTGACGCGCCGCCTCTGCTGCTCTGTCGGGTGTTCTGTCCGTCGTCGTCCGCCACTAGGTACTTGTTCAGGTGGCTCCTCAGCCGGACCACCTTCGCTTTCCGAATGATATCCATAGGTGATGGAGATGAATGAGATGATGATGGTGATTGAATTGATTTGCAGTTAAATACAGCTATCTGACAAACTACTTAAAGTTAACGGAATTGAATCTGTTTCTTTTTTTTTTCTTACTCCGTATTTTGTAAGGTACAAGTGTACAACGGAGATGACTTCCAAAAACAAAATTTTCACTTTTGGTAAAAAAATCTAGTACTGATAGTCATTCTTACACATTTCTTTCTCTTCTGCACAATTCTCCACCACACAATTTTCACTTTCTTAATTTGTGTGCCATTTATACTGCGGAAGAACATTTAAACTCTGTTTGGTTGGAGGGTTTCGGAGGGGAGGGGAGGAAAATGAGGGATTTGTGTGTGTTTGGTTGAAGGAAATAGAGGGAAGGGGAGGAAAGTGTAAGACTTTCAAAATCCTCCACTTCCTCCCATTCTAAACCCCCCAAATTGGGGTATTTCGGAGGAAACGTGTCGATAACCACAAACTATTCATCTCTTACGTGAATGAACAAAATGTTATAGTATAAAAAGGCAAAAAACAAAATGTTTTGAAAAATTTAAAAATTTAAAAATTTAAAGATTTAAAGATTAAAAAATTAAAAATTAAAAAAATTTAAAATTTAAAAATTTAAAAATTATAAATTAAAAATTTTAAAAATTTAAAATAAAAAATTTAAAAAATAAAAAATAAAAATTAAAAATTCCAAACTGAAAAATGAAAAATTATAAAATTAAAAAAAGTAAAAAATCAAATAAAATAGAATTATGACTCATGAACATAGGAGTAATATTCACAATAGTTAGACATGTATCTATTTTTTTAAATAAGTTATCAAATTAAAGTAAATTGCGAAAATATTTTCATAAAACCTTTCCCCCTATTTCCTCCAACCAAACACAAATTTTTATCAAAATCCTTCCTCCCCCTTCTCTCCACTTCCCTCCTTGACTCTCCCCTTCCCTCCCCTCCTTTGAACCAAACAAGGCCTTAGGAATGGAGGGGCGGGGTAATAGCTATGCAAATTCTTTTTGTCGAGAGCGTACACCTGGAATTGAATCTGTTTCTTTTGATGATTTGCTGGCAATTTTAAAATTAGGATGTTTTTATTTGGATTTAAATTTGCTGGTCTGGTCTGCATAAGTCTGGTCTGGTCTAGTCTGATCTGGTAAATGTCTGGTCAATGTGTATTTTATAACTACGGAAGTCTAGTTTGGTCTTGTCTGAACATGTCTAGTCTGGTATGTTTAAGTCTGGTCTGGTCTGATCTGGTATGATCTGGTCTGGCACTTAAAACAGTTCAAGTAAGGGGGTGTTTTGGATCCGATTCTTAAAACCGCTTCTGTCTTCACTGAGTAGAAGCATAAGTTAGAGTGTTTGGGTAAAAATGCAAAAGTATTTCTGGTGCTCTAATTTACTCATATAAGCAGTTTTTTTATAGCTGGTGGAGGCCAGCTTGTGAAAATCGATTCTGATTCTTCTTTAAAAAAGAAGTAGAAGCAGAATCAGTTCCAAACACCCCCTAAAAACATCCTTAATAGCTTTCCGTTATAGCATTGTTTTTCCCGCTTAACAAAGCTAATTAGTCAAAATGAGATATTAGCTTGAGCAAAGAGAATTACCAGATATAACACTATTAATAAAAAAATGAAGAGGTAGAAGTTATATCTAATCATTGGAGTAGATTTTAACCTCGCTGCAAATGTTTATGTGGCTAGTTAGTTATGAGGATAATTAGCTAACCGTTGGATATGCTTTTATACAGTTATAAAGTGTTCTTTATACAATTAGGTATTTTTATATTATGTTTAATGAGTGTAACGTTTAAAAGAAATGTTTATTGATATTAAATAATTGTTGGCACAATTTAGTATTAGAAGCATGCAATTGTGTATTATTTTGATCTACACGTAATATATACAATACAAATCAACTTATTCATTTAACTATATTATCATTGTTGTTGGTCCAAAATAGGACGCTCGTAGGCTTTTAGGAAAGCTACGTACGACACTCAAGCAGGAAATCAAGAAAATAATGCAAATAAGGAAAGAAGCTAAAAGTGTTTAGTTGCCAAGAATAGCTTCTCTATTATTTGAATCGGACTTGCCTTTTATAGGCGATTACAAATGGTAACTGCCAACGATACTAATGGCTAATTAATTACAACATTAATACAGAATTAAATACATAATTAAGTCGCGCATTAATTGCTCTGGCCATTACTGTTCTTGGCTGGTGGGTCGGCCTGGCTGGCAGGCCAGACGCTTGAGCTCCCTTCTGCTGGACTGAAAAGCAGGCTCCCCACCGGGCTAGAGGCAGACTCCTGGCTGGGCTGGAAGGTAGACTCCTGGTTGGGCCGGAAGGCAGGCTTCCCGTTGGGCTGGAGGTAGGCTCTTGGCTGGGCTAGAAGGCAGGCTCCCCACTGGAATGGAAGGCACGCTCCCCACCGGGCTTGAGGCAGGCTCCTGGCTGGGCTGGAATGCAGGCTGCTGGCCGGACTGGAAGGCAGGCTCCCTGCTGGCTGGGCTGGAGGGCAGGTCATCTTGGGCTTCCGCTCCTTGATGAGCTTGATCAGTTGGGCTTGCTCCAGCGCTGGGTCACTGGGCTTGGCCTGCTGGTCCAAGTTCGGGGCCTGGACCGATTAGGCTCTGGGCCTAGTCCTATAACCCCATCATGAGTCCCACACTCGCTAGGTTCAAGTCAGCTGTCAATTTAAAAAATATTCACATGCCAATGAGCCATAATTGTGGATTCTGTCAATCCCACAATTTATGGAGATTTCCAATCCACAATCCGCAATCCTTCGGCATCCTAACATTCCAGCAATCCGCTTTCTCCCGGACTTCAGAATTCAGGTCGGTTTCCAAAAAATCCTGAAATTCATTATTATTACTAGTATTATTTTATAATTATTTCCGGACTTTATATTTTATTTTTCATTTCTTTTCCTTCCTTTATTTTATTTTCTTTTCTTTTCTTTCCTTTCTTTTCTTTTTTCTCTCTTTCCTCGAAACTGCGTGCGTCTTCCTCGCGTAGCCCCAGCGCCGCAGTTGACCGATTGCCTCCACAGCCGGCTGCCGTCTGTAACCCGGCGGCTCCACCGGGCCGGTCCCTGCTGCGTCCAACGGATGCTCTGCACCACACGCCGGCGGCCGACGTCCTCCCTACAGTCCGTCGAATCTGGTCGGTTGGTCTGGGCTCATGTGTTCGGCTGGCGCAACTCACAGGGGTCGGCGGCCACCCAATGCCGATAGGTGTCGCCCAGGAAACCGGCGTCCACTTACGATCGATGAGCGACAGGGGTAGGCAACGACCTCCAGGCGGTGATGGCGGATTCCAAGCTATGACGGCTCCAGGCAATGGCGGCGGATTGCAAGTGGTGATGCTTCAGGTCCGACCAAACACCCCCTGCCACCCGTATCTCTTTGGGTTGTCCGCTGCACAGTCTTGAATCGGTGTCGCACCAAGGACATAACACACAGACAACCTCCCAAGTTGGTAGTGTGCAATCTGTCGGCAGACCTGTAATTGGGTGACGTTAGTGGTTGTGCCTCTATGGTTGTTGCTGGTTCGTTTCTTTCCTGAATTCCTGAGACAATATTTCTTTTGTTTATAGGGTATGTTCATGACTACGGAGGCATTCCAAGCTTTGATTGTGTCTGGGCAAAGTTCTCTCACAAGTCAGATAAGGTTAAGGACGTTGAGACAGGCAATGAGATACTTGCACAGTTCCCTGCCTCCGCTAGGTTTTCCCACGTGCTTGAAGAATCATCATGGTGAGAAAGATATGGCTCCATTAAACTTGGCGACCACCCAACGGCGACCACCCAATGGGATGAGAACAACCATGGATGGGATGGCATTGGAGTTCGGATTCCAAAAGAGCTGTTTGAGGTTCCTAGCAAATCCCATGATTAGACCATTGTACATGATGGTGTCGGGTCTCCTTAGCTGTGACCTTGTACATTTGTTTTGTAGCTTGCAGTCGGCCTATGTAAACTTTGACTCAACATTAAGTTCTGAATGATATGTTTCTTTTTCTATACTTTGCTTTCTTTTATTTTCTCTTTCCGGGACTTCCTGGATGCGTGTGTGCATCTTGCCCTAGGCAGCCAGGTGGCCAAGCGGCTGGGTGCCCCCGGGTCGGATGGCATCGTCACCTCCATGGAAGTCAGCGGTCGGGAGGCCAGGTGGTCAGGAGGCCAGTGCGGCCAGGCGGCCGGGCGGCCGGGCGGCCGGGCGGCTAGGAGGCCAGTGCGGCCAGGCGGCCGGGCGGCTAGGAAGCCAGGCGGCCAGGCGGTCAGGTGGCCAGGCTGAAGTCTCTATTCCCCGGGGTTCCATGTTGTCCAACGGTCGCCCCGGTGCTCTTCTTCCTCTAGGTGGCAGGGTTGTTGCCACCATCCTCTTTTTTTTGCTTGCTTGGTAGTAACGGAGACCACGCAAGCGTAGGGGTCCAACGCCACCGTCCTCCTAGTTTGTTGTTCGCCATTTGCAGCACGGTGCTTCAAGCCGGAGGCCGGGATTGACTGGCTGCAATCCCTCTCCGGGCAAACGCCCGTCAATGTCGGACCCTCGCAACCTTCGCACTGCCGTTGCCTGAGTTGACCTTCTATCAGGTTGGCGGTCAGAAGGTGATGGATTCAGGTGATGTCGGTGGCATCTGGGTGGAGGTGGTTTCCAGGGCGACGACGCTCGGGCGGACGGCATCCGAGATCGGCAGTGTCACTTCCAGGCCGGCAGCCACCCGGGCGGTGGTGGGTCTAAGGTCAGAGTGCTTCTCCTCGGCGGTGAGAAGTAGGTGGGTGATCCAAACTCTCTAGACGACACCTTCATCACCACATGGCTGAATTCGTTAAGACCTTTGAGGTCGACATCGACTGTCCTAGTGCAACTGCATGTATCCTTCGCCCCCACAGGAAACAGGTCAATTTAGGCCGGCAGGGACCTTCAGAAAAGCATAAGTGCGGCTGAAATGTGTGGGCTGAGTGTTGGTGCTCCCCGAATTATCACTGTTTTTAGAACCACGTAGCTCCTT